TTTTATGGAATCAAACTCAAAGTAATGTCAGTACTTCCAAGCTTTAAACGCTGCACATACTCTCTCCCACACTCCATATTATCCATTGTTGATCTACACACGTCTATGGCTGCCACAGACGTCACACACTTGTACGTCATTGTCATGAGACACTCTCACAAACAAAATCACTGTTTAGTAATGCAGCATGCTTATGGGAAAGAAGTAAGAGTAATCTAATTACTTTTTTGCAATAGTAATCCCTTACTTTACTTGTTACTACTTTAAAAAAGTATGCCTTACTGCCCATCTTTGCTTATAACACATGTTAAGCCCCATGGACTGAAAACCGCTTCACCCAGAGCAAAAGAGCTCAAACTGGTCCTCACTCCTGCAAACAGTAATGGATTTTCTTCCTGTCTCATCTTTTAGGTACAGTTGCTATGCATCAGATGGTTGCAATGGTGATCTGCTTTGTCTTTGTCATCATCGTTACTGTCACCATCTTCATCTACAGGTGAGCCAAACATGTTTGTATCTCTGTACTGAGTATGAAAACTGGACGTATGACCCCATTGCGACCCCGGCAGATCTCAGTTTAAATCATTACACTCATGCTGCACATCAGGCCCAGAAAGAAAGGCTCGAAGGAGAAATCCTCATCTGACTTCAACAAAGAAAACCCTGATTTGATTTTGAGTCATTGAAAGTGAAAATGAACAAAGCATAAAACTGACAAGAAGCTCACTCATGCACTCAAATTCAAAAACTGACTCCATACAGGCAGGTGAGACTCTACTGTTACGGAGGTTTGTTATCATCAGTTCATAAGCTGAAGTCATTCCCTTGCTCTGGTCTGGCTGCTTTTCCACTTATAGAGCATAATCCTAACTGGAACAAACGCTAGTGTAAAGCCAAGCATCTCTGACTGAGATCCTCAAAGCACACTCAAAGCACTTTCTACTACAAATGTCATCCGCCCAATCGCAGACATTCATCCAATGCTTTTATCCATACCTAATACTTTCACACACGCTCACACACCAGTGCTCCAGTGGTTCTAACACCAGAGCCACAGCCGCCCCACCAGATCTCTGTGTAACTCATTCAGCCTGTTTATCCTTTCCATCAGCTTTCTCTCCATTTTCCTTCCCCTCAAATTTCAACACACACACTCGCACATATGCACATATACACACTCTCTTCCTGTCTGCTGAACAGGAAGCTGAAGCTGGAGAGCGAGCTTGCAGCTCAGCTGTGGAGAGTTTCCTGGGATGACGTCCAGATGAGCAACCTGGATAAAGTCCTGAGGAGAGCGTGCAGCAGGCTCACCATGTCTCTGGTAACACAGCTGTTATTATACTATAAATAAATCATCCGTACTCACTGGAAACATATTATACCTAATACAGTGCCTGCCTTTACTTCCTGAAATTTTCCAGTTTCAGTTTATAGTCTGAAATGTGTTTGCATTTGTAAACAATGACTAACAGATGGAACAGGAAGCATTCAACTGGATTTCTATTTTTCCCTTTCTGGAATTCCCGGCTACACCGGAAGCTCTCTGGGCCTCGATCAGCTGACTGACTGATTTGTTCACATTGAATTAAATCATTTTCCTAAATTCTTCATCGTATAGTAGAGTTGTGCAAAAAAAAGATAATTGAAGTCTCCTTCAAACCATAAACCTGGTTTTCTTTTCTTTATATAATATATATTATGTTATATATTATATAATTATTCACTGGGATGCTGATTACTCTATTAATTAGTAACTACTGGGCTGGACCACTCATGCAAAACATGAGGAAAAAAGTTTCCTCCGTATGGTAGTGCTGCATGTTATCCAGGACCTACACTCTTCATTGAAAAAAAGCCGAGTGTCTCGATTGTTTGTGCTTGTGTCTGCAGAAAGGATCCAACTATGGTTCTCTGATGACCATGGAGGGAAACTTTCAGATCTACACTAAAACCGGATACTACAAGGTCTGACAGACGCTGACAGTCCCATCACATGTTCCTCTAACAAGATGGTGTCAAGTGGTAATCTGGTTCACTGTGTCTCCTGCAGGGAAACTTGGCAGCTATCAAATACATCAACAAGAAACGCATCGAACTGACCCGGAAGGTTCTGTTTGAACTGAAGCATGTAAGAACTATCTGCCCACTAACCTACCAGCTAACACTGTAACTGACTGACCTAGCTTATAGGTCTTCTTGCAGGATGTTGAGCTTTTGTATTTGTAGCAAATGAAATAATAGCCTAGCGACTGACAAACTTACTAACCCACTTAACAATGGACCATCCTTCTTGCTATAGACTGAAAACCTTACCTACCTGCATATATATATATATATATATGTGTGTGTGTGTGTGTGTGTGTGTATACACCTATCCGATCTAACCTCCTAAATGATCTCAACCTACCAATCTACCCATTTTTTTAAAGTAGCAGCCTCTGTGTTTTTGTAGATGCGAGATGTCCAAAATGAACACCTGACCCGCTTCATTGGCGCCTGTATCGACCCGCCGAACATGTGCATCATCACAGAGTACTGTCCAAGAGGCAGCCTTCAGGTACGTCACACCCAGCTAATGTTTTGCTAGAAATCTGTGCATTATTTTTCATCGACACTTTCAGCTTGCATGTCAAAACCCTGGTCCAGTTTTACTTTATACAGATTAGAAATATTGCAAAAAGTCAGAACAATATTTCCAAATAATATAACTGCACACCTTGTCCACATCCACAGTTTACTTTGGTTAGATCGCGACAGCTCTTTGGATGCAAACTCTGACATCAAACCTGGAGATGTCTGCTGTGTGGAGCTCGTGTTAATACGGGAGCAGCTGAAAGCTGGTTAGGCATTAAGATACCTAAATGATGCAGTGGTTTCTACAGTCAGGAAGCAGCACTGCAGCCATCCTCTGCTCGTTCATTCCTTACATTTTTTCATATGAGATGTTTTTTGTGTTTCAGATGTTCTCTCTCCTCTCAGCTACAGTTATCTGTCAGCACTGTAGCATAGCAACCTCCCAGCACAGTAACCTAGCAACATGCAAAGGTTGATGTGGGCCGTGTGGGGGTTTGGGTTGTTGTCAGATGACCGCTGGATGTCAGGGCTGTCATCCTAACACAGAGCAACTCAGGCGGTTTGAGTTATTTTGAGTTTGTGCTCTGAGATGAGGATGATGCTTTTAGTGTGGGGAGGAAGAATGAATATCAAATATCAGCTGAAGCTGCTGCTTGCAGATAGTCACAAGCAAAGACACCATTACTCTGCTGAGTGATTCAGTATTCAGTACACAATTTTAACCATGCACAGAAATGTCCTCGCAGAGCAGAAGTGTCCTCAGTGTCTGTCACTGAGGACCAGTGTTGGTCAAGTTAGTTGAAAAGAGTAATCAGTAACTAATTACTGATTACTTCCCCAAAAAAGTAATCCCGTTACTTTACTGATTACTTATTTTCAAAAGTAATTAATTACTTAGTTACTTAGTTACTTTTTAAAAACACGATTTACAACCTGAAGAGGTGATAAAGCGATAGATCTTTCAGCCCAATTCTACTTTTTCTCATAATCCATCATACAAAATGTAATCAAATGGAAAAGTCTCTTTTTAAAACTTGTTTTATTAGTTTTAATCTTTTAACTTTATGCATCAAGCAAAAATTTAATTATATGCAACATTCTCTGACTGGAAGAAATTAGTTTAACATTTAAACCTATTTTCTGCACATTCCAGCACATAAAATAATTTTTTTGTGTGTGTTTACACTCACTCTTTCAAATAGATGCAAGTAAAACACAGCAGAAAATAAATAAAGTCAAAGACTCAGCGGTCCTGTTGCTCTATTTTCACCTGTAAAGCAGGAGTGGGGTAGGCGGAGGTTTACCCTGGTGCAGGTGTGCGCAGCGGTCAGTGGAAGAATCCGCGAGTTTCTCTGTGAGTTTCCCATTACGTCGTAGCTACTCGGTGCTTGCTTGGAAGTTTAGGGTTTTTTTCGCTGTAAAAAGAAGTTTTCTTCCCACGCACAACGGACACTAATGTTTTTGTCACTTTTTATGGAATCAAACTCAAAGTAAGGTCAGTACTTCCACGCTTTAAACGCTGCACGCTCACATTCTCTCCCGCACTCGATATATTGTCCGTTGTTGATCTGCACACAGCTGTTGTCACGAACGTCGCACTCGCTTACGTCACTGTCATGAGACATTATCGAAAAAAATCACGGTTTTAGTAACGCAGCGTTACTACGGGAAAGTAACGGTAATCTCATTACCGTTTTTGCAATAGTAATCCCTTACTTTACTCGTTACTTGAAAAAAGTAATCGGATTACAGTAACGCGTTACTGCCCATCTCTGCTGAGGACCTCACTTGGACTGAATGGCCAACATGCGTGTGTGTCTGTCCCTCAGGACCTGATGGAGAGTGACAGCATCACACTGGACTGGATGTTCAGATACTCTCTCATTAATGACATTGTCAAGGTAAAAACTTGTCTCTGTGGCTTGGGGGGTGGAGTTACAGAAAACACATGTAAATGAAAAAGTATGAACGAGGTCTCTGACATCAATGTTGGACTCATGTTTCGATTCTAGAGACCTTCAGACTTTTCACCTGAATCAGCTGTCTGTCTGTCTGTCTGTTTGCCTCCAGGGAATGGCATTTCTCCACAACAGCGTCATCATCTCCCATGGTGACCTTAAATCGTCCAACTGTGTGGTGGACAGCCGCTTTGTCCTGAAAATCACTGACTATGGCCTGCAGAGTCTTAGGACCAGAAACTGCCCCGAGGACACACATGCTTACTATGCACGTATGTATTGAAGCTGACGCTCTACATTAAAGACTGTCTATGAGGATGTTGTTATCACTGATATCAGTTATTGATCACTTGGCAGGGAAGCTGTGGACAGCTCCAGAGCTGGTGAGGATAGATTGTCCTCCGAACTGTGGGACACAAAAGGGGGATGTGTACAGTTTTGGGGTGATCCTGCAGGAAGTGGCTCTGCTCAGAGGAGTTTTCTACCTCGACTCACACTCTCTCTCCCCTAAAGGTGAATGTGTGTTTCTCAGGGTTAAATTAATTCAGTTCAACCTTATTTATACAGCAGTCACCTCAAGGTGCTTTATATTGTAAGATAAAGACCCTACAATAATAGGTCAATAGATTAATGTGTGTCTGACCTGAGTCGCTGCTGTAGGACAAATAAACGAGACTTGACATTCACACCAATTGTCCGCATGCTGAGCTTCTAATATATAAGGGAGAAGTTGATAGACAAAGCTCCATTTTTAGATACTTGGCAGCTTTCTTTTGTAGCGATGTCACAGCACCAAAAACCGTTTTACAGCATCTTCCACTTTAATTTGAGGCATGAATCGAGCAGCAACCTCATAATAGCATCAGCTTCAGGCACCACAGCCAGTTTCTTTACTCACATGGATATTTCTGCTCGAGTTCAACTACAATCCTAATGGAGTTATCATCTCTAAATTGGTGCCATCGGCAATGACCTCTCTCAAGTCCCAAACCAATTAGCAGTTTTTTCACTGTAAGAACAACTGAAGGACAGAAGAGTTGTGTTACTTCACTTCAACGTGTGGAAACAAAAATTAAAGTTTTTGTCTGGAGTCAGGTGGTCATAATCATTTTAACTGCTATATTCCCTCCTGTTGCTGCTAATGAAATACACTTCTGATCCCCCCCCCATTTTTCAGCTTCACCTGAGCTCTGTTCTGACGGCTGAAGTTCTAAAAACATCAGTTTCTTACTTGTGCTCACTTTTGGAGTGGCTGTAGAGCAGGTCATCTGCTAATTGGAACATTGGTGATTTGATCCCTAACTGCTTGATATGCGTGACTTGCCCTTGAGCAAGATACAACCCCCCGAGTTGCTCTGTGATGTTTTTATCGGAGTGTGAATGTTTGAAAGCAGGTGGGAATAGGGTATATTGTATAAAGTGCTTTGCATACTCAAGTATAAGAACCAGTCTAATTAGCAGACAGACCATTTCTTTGTTTTGATACTTCAGCACTTCCAGGTGAACACTGCTTGTGCACTCAGGCCTACCTATCTCACAATGGTAAATTATCACTCCAAAATGTCCTGGATCCACATTAGGATTGACTCCAAAAGTTCATCCTGTTTCATGGAAATCCATCCAGGACTTTCTGAGCACCCTGAACCAGCATCGTGAGGATGAAAGAGATCTGAGCTTCTGTAGATTTGTTTATCAGCTGATTTCTTTCAGACTTACTTCAATGACATGAGGTTTGTGTATGGTGATGGATGGATGGATGTCCCCCTCACATTTGACAGCCACAGCTGTCAAATGTAATAATTTTACATCTTCAAGTTCAAAGATAATCGACCATTGTGGGGGTAGAGTTCACGTAGCTACTCTGCACTCTGTTGGCACATGGTATTGAAGAAGATAACAGTGGAGGAATTATATCCTTAAACTTAGTTACAACCCTTTTAGAAAGACATCTGCTGTAATTAAATGTATTCCCAATAATACATCCAATATTGTATTAATGCTGTGTAATCCATTATTGTAAATGTATATGTTAAGAAATGATCAGACAAAGGAGGATTCACAGGATTGAGTCTTCTAGAATTAGAGCATCAACGTTTTTAAGTGTTTGTGTTTCTACTTACCTCTTACTGCTGAATGTGTGTGCTTTTGCAACCTATGCCCCCCCCCTCCCCCCAACAGAGATTGTGCAGGCGGTGATTCATGGTGGCACCCCACCCCTCCGCCCCTCCCTCTGCTTCCACAGTCACAGTGAGGAGCTCGGTGTCCTGATGCAGCGCTGCTGGAGTGAAGAGCCGAGCGAGCGTCCCGACTTCAACACCATCAAGATCCTGCTCAGGAAGCAGCACAGGTGAGGGAGAGGCGACGGACCCACATTTATTCTGAGACAGGTTTTTATGATGCTCTGATTAATGCTGAAGCAGGAGACATGCAAAAAATCTCAGAGTATGCTCTCAGCTGTACAAAACTTTTATTCGGCTCTCTGTTTGGACACTAAACAGAGCTGGCAGAGAGCGTCCCCAGTAACTCTGTAAAATCAGCCAGTAAAGAAAGAAATATTGAAATATAAATATTCATGTTGTTCTTTCAATAAAATAGAGGCTGAGAAATGAGAGAAATATGTAGAAAAATTGTCACTCACAAAACAGAAAGCCAAACACCTGTCACCCTGTCTGTCTCTGTCCAATCATGTGTCTCTTCAGAGGATATGGCTCTAACATCCTGGACAATCTGCTCTCCCGGATGGAGCAGTATGCTAATAACCTGGAGGAGCTGGTGGAGGAACGAACGCAGGCCTATCATGAGGAAAAGAGGAAGGCGGAGGCCCTGCTGTACCAGATACTCCCACAGTAACTATACTTCAGTACTACTGCCCTGAATACTGCACTAAATACTGGATACTGCAGTACTATATCATCCTATTTATGTGTCAGTTCTGTAGCAGAGCAGTTAAAACGAGGAGAGACAGTTCAGGCTGAAGCGTTTGACTCTGTCACCATCTACTTCAGCGACATCGTTGGCTTCACCACTCTGTCTGCAGAGAGCACGCCACTGCAGGTTGTTAACCCGGAGGAAGCTACAGGGAAACCATCCACATGAGGGTTCTCCAACTCAGGTCCTGGAGAGAGCTACTGTCCTGCAGCTTTTAGATGCATCCTTGTTCCAACACACCTAAATCAAAGGAATGGCTTGTGACCAGGTCTTTAACCAAAATTGATGGCATGCTGAACAAGCTGCAGGACAGTAGCTCGTGAGGACTGGAGTTGGAGACGCCTGATCTATACATTCAGATCACAACGTGCAAACATAAGGCTGCCATCTGCTGGTTTGAGCTATTATTGCAGTACATTTCTGATTGTTTTGGTGTGAAATCTCACTCACCTTCTGTGTCTGCGTTTTCCTCCTGCAGGTTGTGACGTTATTAAACGACTTGTACACCTGTTTTGATGCCATTATAGACAACTTTGATGTATACAAGGTAAAATTTGCTAAACTGAGCTAATCTAAGCTACATCCCACCTGTGAGTCAGATCAGTTTACCGTGTACATCTTCACCTTTCAGGTAGAAACAATCGGTGATGCCTACATGGTGGTCTCAGGACTACCTGCCAGGAACGGTAAACTTCACGGTCGAGAGGTCGCCCGCATGTCCCTCGCCCTGCTGGAAGCTGTCAAGAGCTTCCAGATCCGACACCGACCCAATCAGCAGCTACGGCTCCGCATCGGCATCCATAGCGGTACTACATACACTGCAGCCAGAAATACTACAATACACGGCATTGCTATCACTACTATCATTACACTACAGTAAAAGAACAGTGCAGACTTAGTGTTGGTGTGTGTCACCAGGTCCGGTATGTGCTGGCGTGGTTGGGTTGAAGATGCCGAGGTACTGTCTGTTTGGAGACACGGTCAATACAGCGTCACGCATGGAGTCAACTGGGGAGGGTAGGACCTGCTTCCTGCTAAGTAATCACATGTCTGTGTCCACCAGGACAGGTCTAACCTGATTGGTTCTTTAGTCTAATCAACTCTGATGGCGAAAGACAAAAACAGCATTTAGTGTATGTTCTAGGAATAAAGTGAATCTAAAAGATGGATGTAGCCACATACTGGTTTGTTGCACCTGCTGCCTATTTGATTTTTATAAAGCCAAAGGTGACTTTCAGCCTCCCCTCTTACAGTTGTTATGAAGGAAGAAATTATTTACACAGGCCAAACCAGTTTGTGTGTCAGGCTGTAAACATGTTTATTTCTGCTAAAGTTTTAACATGGGTGTCTATGCTGACTGATTTGCTGTTGGAGCCTTTGGTGAACATTAGAGGAACTGCAGGTTTTGGGACCTTACATATTTGTCATGCTGTGGTTGTACTTGAGCACTTTATCCCCTGCTCGGCCAGGTGTGACGTCATGCATTGTTGTGTCTTTGCAGCTCTGAAGATTCACGTGTCGGAGGCGACTCGTCAGGTTCTGCAGGAGTTCAGCTGTTTCCAGCTGCAGCTCAGAGGAGAGATTGAAGTGAAAGGGAAAGGACGCATGAGGACGTACTGGTTGGTGGGAGAGAACGCCACTAACTAAAAGATCAGGAGGACATCAAGAACCCGCCTCCTCATCTTCCCATCTAATTGGACAGAACATTGTTTAAGATGACAGATAAAAGACTGAGTGAACTTTCACCAAAGACTGTAGAGAAAAACAAAGATAGGCAAATGTTTTACTGTAAGATAAATTAATCACGAGGAAGAAAATGTGTAAATACAACAATAAACTGTGTTTGCTACCTGTGTGTCTTTATTGTCAATAAATCCATTGTCATATTTGCCACATCAGGTGATTTTGTTTTTTGCATGTTTTAAGTTTATAGAATAGTCTTTTATTGTCATTGCACATGTACAATGAAATTATGGGTTCTCCACACCAACTGTGCCAGATTAAATATAATAAGTAGACAGCAGGAATAAATAACAAACAGGAGAAATATATATTATCGAGAGGGATATATACAAAACAAGACAAAGGCACACATTACAGGATCAAGTGCTTGGACAGAGTGCAAAGGACTTGGTCTGAGAATAGAGTCCATGTGTGAGTGGCCTGAATGATGAGGGTTACTCAGGTTGCAAAATCCCTAAAAATGTGTGATTTATTTCAGTTTTTCAGGATTTAATTGTACCGTGTCAAAACTTTATGTTCACTGTGATTTCAGCACAAAAATATTTCTCAGTACTACAGCTTCTAGGTTTGCTGCCATTGCCAGTGGTTATGAACGGTCACTCGTGTGAAATATAACAAGCCATAAGGGTGAATTGTAACTTTAAGCTGCTGTTGTGAAAGATGGTGTTTTGCTCGATACTTGGTAGAAGGACTGGTTTTTAATATAGCCCTTTTCTACTCAAATTGAGCACTCAAAGTGCTTTATACTACATCTCACACACATACATGCAAGCACTTTTTTCTTTCTGTATTTACAGAATTCATGATTTTATCAATTACAGCATGTAGTCCACATCCTGAAGCAGCAAAGCAGTCCCAGACCATCACACCACCATATGTTAAAGTTGCTATGATGCTAGTTTGATGTCAGATGTGACAGATTGTTGAATCATGAACTCTGACCTTAACAAGACAACTGAAGACTGCAGTTCTTTAGGTGTTGTTAGGGGTTCTTCTGTGACCTCTTGGATGAGTTGTCAATCCACTCTTGGAGTAAATTTGGTAAGCCAGGCACTCCTGTGAAGGTTTCCACTGTTCCAAGCTGGATAATGGCTCTCACCGTTTTTCACTCGAGTTATAAAGCCTTAGATATGCCTCTGTAAACCTTTCCAGATTCATAGATGTCAGTGACTTTGTTTCTCAGCTGTTTGTGGCATGTGCCTGATTGTGGCATGATGACTTGTTTTTTGAGATCTTTTAGCCTTTCACTTTGTCAGACAGTGAAATATTTTTTCCCTTTCTAAATGAAATCATCAGTTATTAACTTTATTTTGTATTTACTTAGGTTATCTTTGTCTAATATAATAATGTGTTTAATGATCTAAACATATAAGTGTGATAAATATGCAAGACAATTAATAAATGCAGGAGTTGGCAAACACATACGGATCCACCCACCATTGTGCATCACTAGAGGTAAAATGAGAAACCTACCAATTAAACAGAGATTTCTAAAAGAGAGCCTCAGGTTTCAATGTCTTCATTAGTTCCTCAACATGACTTTTAAAGGAAAGCAGCTACTCAGATTGTCAACGGAAAATTGTATTTAGTAGTCAGTATAATTTACAACTGTTTACAACTTGCATAGTTCCCATTTCTGTATAACTGTATATCTCAGATTTCTGTAAAGTTATTTATTTCATATTCTGTATAGTTTTTCATATTTATATCCTGTTCATATCCTGTACATAGCTTGTACTCACTACAGCCTGTACATACCTATAGTTATAGAATATTCACAACATACTTCATACCGTGTACATTATAACATACCATAATAGACCCATTTCTGTAATATACTCACATATCTATATTATTGCTAATATATATTGTAATATATCTATATCACTAAAGCACTTCTGGATGGATGCAAACTGCATTTCCTTGCCCTGTACCTGTGCATGTGCAATGACAATAAAGTTGAATTCTATTCTATTCTATTCTATTCTAATCTTTTAATGATATAAGTTTGCATATGGTAGAATACTGCATGTAATCATTTGTGTTTAGAAGTATATAATTGGTGGCATATTGAAAGAATGTCTCATCCTAGGAGGTCTGTAACATTCCAGGGTGTTCTGGCGTTCACCCCCACATCCTAGGAGTATGGGAGAGGTCGTACCTTGTCTTATTGTTTTACGGTATGATTAACGTAGCTATATCTGTCTTAGTCTAAGTGCCTTTTGGTTTGATGAACTGCTGGACTTCGAGACCAGCAGGTTTCGGGAAGTCATTTATGGGGTCACACTCTGACACCACACACACACACACACACAAGCACCCACTCAAGTATAAATAAAGACCGGGGCAGTTTCTCAGCGCGAGTCTCAGTTCGGGAGGCTGCCCTTGCTAGCAAGAAGTTCTGTGTGTTTCTCTTCTCTGATTCTCTACTGAAGAAGTGTTTTAGAGTATACCTCTTAACACAGATAGTTCTATCATTTTTCATGTCAGTAACATGTATTCAAGTCCACATCAATTAACATGAATTTGTCTATGAAAACAATACAGTCCCCTTTAGACAATCCAGCAGTTTTTCTAAACCTAAAGTATTTTGAAATCGACCACTGTTGTAACAAATCAGTTTATACACTTTCTTCCTTCCTAGATGTTCTGGGATCAGCTGTAAGTGCTGTTATTACAAAATGGAAGCATTTAGGAACCACAGCAACTCAGCCATGAAGTGTCAGACCATGTAAAGTTACATAGTGGGTCACTGGGTGGTGAGGTTTAAGTGACCAAGTTTAAGTCACCAACACTCTGCCGACTCAGTAGCTCCAAATCTCCTCTGTGATTAACATCTGCTCAAAAATGGCACCAGGAGCTTCATGGCCAAGTAGACCCTGGAAGTGGAATGTGCAGGTGGTCCAGTTCTTTCTCCTAGAGTGTGCAGATTGATTTTTTTGTTTTTTGTTTTTACTTTACTTTATATTGCCCTGTTTTGTCCATAATAAAACTAATAGATATGTGCTTTATTTTAAAGCACATATAGTTCCAAAATAGCCCACTGCAGAGTAGTCAAATGTGGTTAAAAATCTGGATTATTCTTCTTCCCACTGTTCTCTTTGCTGGTCTCCACAGTGAATCATCATCTCCATTTCCTCCTATCCCACTATCCTCCTCAGTTGTACCAACAGACAACAATGGATGATAAATATGAACAAATTTTCTGTCTCTGACTTTTTGGACCAACAACAACTATTTCTATCTTTTCTCTGCTTGGTTCTAAAAGGTTTTGAGACATTTAGGAATTAATGTCATCCATGCAGCTCATTTGTTTGGCTGTCTTTTTGTCAGTGCCAATGTCTCCAAACCTTCCATCACAGCAGGTCTCACTACCATCTTTTAAACATTCCATTTCACATTCCTCTTTTTGAGTTTATGTTGTTACTGGTTTTTACTTGTTAGATGTTGACATTTGGGATGAAGAAAACCAGTTTTTTTTTTAATTATTATTATTTTGTACATACTTCAAAAGTATCTCAAAAGGTGGTATAACAGCAGTCTAAGTGCAGTAAGCAGACAAGTACTGCGTACTTTACAGTTCTTCAATATTTGCTCTACAACACTATAAACACGCTGAAGCCCTTTCCATGCTGTTGGCCTTCAGTATAGGCGATCGAGGATTGGCTCCAGGTTCTCGCTCCTGTTATTGGTCCACGCTCACTTCAGTCTGTGGTGTAAGTGAAGTGATTGGTCAGCGGCGTGTGCGGTCCCGCCTCTTCCCCCTGCTGGCTCAGTGCGGACGTCCGTTATGTTACGGTGTCGGACAGAGTGGGACTCACGGTCCGAACTGACCCCGAAAAAGTTCTGAAAACACACATTAAAGGTCCGAAGCGGCTCACCGCAAGGCACCGACCCTAAATCCTCCGTTATACTGACACAGACACCCATCACGCCCCCCAGCACAGGTAGTCCCAGTCCGTCTCAACTCCGCGGGGCCCGGCGAGGCGCAGTGGGAGCAGATGGAGCCTGCACCGGCGAAAGCGAAGCCGCAGGGCCGGCTCCTGGTGTCCACCCCACTGGACGCCAAAGACGAGCTGGAGGAGGTAGGTTGATGCTGTTTAGCTGATCTCAAGGCAGACTAAACCAGGACAGAGCGGGCTTATGGGCAGACAGCGCAGCCTTGGTATAAAGACTCCGCGGTACCATTTTATTAGACGGTTAGCACGGCTAGCAGCAGGCTCATAGCGTTAGCTCAGCAGAAGGGTACGTTGCGGGACTCGGAACTGCTACCGGAGGTGTGGAATTTGTGTCTCTGCTGTCGTGGTCGTTCACGGTGTGAGGGACTGCGGACCGAACCGCGGGGCTCATTAAAACCAAATCAGTTAGCTTAGCATGCTAACTCTACGTAAACATACGAACATATGAAAAGTGACATGCGCAGTGTCTCACTTGTCAGACGCTAACTGTGAGTGCTGTTTGATAAAGTTCAGTTTTTCTGTGGGGCGCCGTCAGCTGATCGACTAGTTGATGCTATTTTTTTTTATCTTTACTATTTTCTGTTTGTGTTTCTCGTATTTGCATTGATTCTTGTTGTGCTTGTGTTGTCGGTGTGTTTAGTGTTTGTTGTCTTGTTTACACTGATTGCTGTGTTTGCTTGCAGAGATTGGAGCGCTGTGTTGGAATCGTCCAGGCACTGACCAATGGACTGTCAGAGAGGGAGGCCAATGACGCACTCACGGCCAACGTAAGAAACATCAGTACTACTACTGCTGATACTACTAATGACTTCCACCCATGTGAAGAAACGGAGTAGCATTTGGAGCTAACATAAACACATTTTGTGCATTCAGCCTTCCTGGGGCACAGTCTGAGCTGCAGGAGCTTTACATGCAGGCTGCATTTGGCGGGTACAACTCAGCAGGTGTAATTTATAAACTTACTTTCCAGGAAAGAATCTAAATCACGCTTTAAAGCCAAATAAAAGAGAGCTAAATAAAAGAATCAGTGAAAACATGGCACATCCACATCATTTTTAACTCAGACTCTGAACATAACCTGATCTCCACCAGGTGATGTGTTGAGCATCAGTTACCATGGTGATTTAGTGTTTCATGACACAGAAAACTCTGACTTTAGCCTCTCAGCTCACTAATGCCTTTATCTTCACAATTCGTAGCACACCTCTCAGTACTATTACATTTAATACTCACACATAGTACTGCAATCACCAAATTAAACGACTATGCTTGTATTTAGGCATGATGTGTTTGTAGGCGAAACCTAACAATACTGCAGTATCTGAAAACCCAGAGTTTGTACTAAAGAATGACTGAAGACTCTTATTAGGGTTATGTGCAGGATATGTAATCTGTGGATTAGTTTTGTTATGATGTGCCGCTGATGTGGGCTGTGATCCGAAAATATGACGTCTACAGATTGCATGTCAACAACTGGCCAGTCAGTGGTGTCAATCAGTGAGTCAAGAGTAGGGATGGGTACCGGTATCCGGTGCCATAATGGCACCGGTTCTGACATAAACGGTAGTAACCAGACCGAAAAGCAGCGCACATTTCGGTGCTTTTTTTTCCTGAGATGTCATACACTTTGGATTCTAGCCAATCATTTTACCTTTGCAAGGATAGTAGGTACGTACGTTCTTTTAGAGCAGAGCTACAGATTAAAAATGCCCAAGGCGAAGCGATTAAAAGTCTGGCTGTACTTCACATCAAAAGATGCAAACTCAGCAGCCTGCAACAAGTGCTTTAAGGTGATACTGTGCAAAGGAGGTAACACCTCGAATCTGATGAAACACCTGGCGACGCATAGCGTTTTTTAAAAGCCGAGAAATGCACCGTATTTGATAGCTTGCTGCAAGATCTCACACCGAGCGCATCTACTGCGGGTGTGGTGCCTGTTATCGACCCGGAGTTACCAACATCCCCCAAGAACTCAAAGAGGAGAGTCCTGGCCCTGCCAGTGTAGCATAAATGATGATGAATGATGATGGCAGCAGCAGCCGTTCTTCTCTGCACCTTGAGTAGGCTAACCACGTTATTAAATTAATGCATGTAAGGTAAACTAGCAAACACCGTTGTAGTTACCGGCACCGGCACTGTTTCAAAAGTACCGGGTTGGCACCGGTATCAGATAAAACTTAAACGATACCCATTTAAGTTTTGGGTGGCTGTAGCTCAGGTGGCAGAGCAGGTCAGCCACTAATCAGAAGGTCGGTGGTTCGATCCCAGGCTCCCTCCTGGCTGCCAAATATCCTTGGGCAAGATACTAACCCCATGTTTGCCTACTGGTGGAGGTCAGAGGGCCCGGTGGCGCCAGTGTCCGGCAGCCTCGCCTCTGTCAGTGCGCCCCAGGACAGCTGTGGCTACAATGTAGCTTGCCATTGCCAGTGTGTGACTGTGTGTGTGAATGTGTGGATGACTGAATGTAGTGTGAAGCGCTTTGGGGTCCTTAGGGACTAGAAAAGCGCTATACAAATGCAGGCCTTTTACCATTTTTACCATCCCTCGTCAAGAGAGAGATTTCTCAATAATCGAAAGTGTCATTTTTGAAACCGATTCTTGGCTTGTTTTTCGAGTTTTCTTTGGCTCATCATCATATCGTATCAAATTTAAAATATTGTTGCTCACCTTTAAAATTATAAATAATTTAGCCCCTAGCTATCTTGTCGATCTCCTTAGTCCATATGTCCCTGGGCGAGCCCTCAGGTCTTCAGCCCACTTACTCTTGGTTCAGCCTAGATCTAGACTTAAATCTAGGGGTGACCGTGCTTTTGCCCTTGTTGCACCTAACCTGTGGAACAACCTTCCCATCGCTATCCGTGCGTCAGACTCCATTCTATCTTTTAAATCTCATTTAAAAACTCACTTATTTAACCTAGCTTTTCCATCTAGTTAGTGTCCCTATTTCACATTTGGCTCCATTTTTATCTATGTACTTTATCTTTTAGTTATCTGTTCTTAGTAAGTTTGTTCTTATACTCCCTTTTATTCCTGTATAATTAGTGCCTTCAACCTGCTGACATATGTGGTACTTTGTTAATGGTCTTTTATTTAATCATGTCTTAATTTCCCTATTTCTATTGTAAAGCACTTTGGTGTCTGCGGGTTTTTAAAATTTGCTACATAAATAAAGTTGTATTGTAAGTTGTAGCTCCTCTGTGAAGCTAAGTGTGATCAGTTCTGCAGCATCAGTGAGAATGTGAGGGAGTACAGCGCTGCACACTCCACACATTATCCTGCTGCTTCTATCAGCAGTCCACAAAGATTGTGTGGATGCTTCAGATCAACTGTTCCTCTCCTTCTTCAAACTTTTCTCTTCCATTGTTTTGGTACAGGTTCATCTTGGTTTCATTTTTTTTTCCAGAACTGTGCTGGCTGTGTTTGATGCTATCTGGCAAAGACCACCAGTGGTTTACACCTTCTTGATTTTCAACAAGGTGCAAACCTTGTTTCCTGTTATTAAAGTGTTTCTTGATTGTCTCTTGAATGTGATGCTTGATGATGCTCCTGCCTTCTTAACACTATTCCTGACTTAGTTAGATGGTGGTTTTTCTGATCTGTGGAAATAATTCTGTCACCATGCTCTTTAATGTATCTGAGGTCTTGGTTTGTTGTTGCTGCTTGGTGCATTCAGTCTTTTCAAGAATGAACCAGATTGTTGGATACGTCTAAAGATTTAGCTCTCTCTGATAGGGCTGTTCGATATAACGATATATATCGGATGACTATATAAAAACGTCTATCGTTTCATTTTACGCTATCGTTTGTTTCGTGGTGTCGCAAAATAAACTGTTTACGGCAATATTTACGGCTGTGTAATAAATACTCACAAAGAAAACGGCGGCTGTTACAACTTATGTCTGAAAATGTATCGTTTCATGCATCGGTTAAAACACTCGACTCCAGGTACACGACGCGCAGCTGGAAACACTTCACGCAAGTCGAGCTGCCCGAGATTCACAGAATTTACAGAAAATGTTACATTTTTGTGATTTATATCGTTATCGGACGATAGATGTCTTATATCGGGATATGAGATTTTGGTCATATCGCACAGCCCTACTCTCTGACTGGTTCATTTGGGTATTTCAGCCTAACAATGACCTCCTTCACTTACACTGACATCTCTTTGACCCTCATATAGAAAATTTCAGTGACTATAAAATACAAATACAATCCTTGGAATCAACTCCAGATCTATATTAACTTAATGAAATAACAAAAGAACAGGTCTCTCCATGAAATTGAAAATAGGGAACTGTGAATAAAAAATTCCTGGAATTCCTTATTGCAATATTTTTATTATACTCCTTTAACTAAAGCAGAGAGTTTGATTTGAAATTCAGTGTGGTAGTGTGCAGAGACTAAACTACAAAAATGTGTCCTTGTCCAAATACTTCTGAATGTCAGAGCTGGAAACATCTAATCTCTAGTCTCTCTAATGTGCTCCAATTCTGAATCACTTCATTCAGTCTACTCTGTGTTTAACAGCTGGAACCAGACACCTTCCTGATTTTCTGAGACCTGAAAATGAAAAGACTATATTTTTGTAATTTGTGTCTAACTTCCTGTTTTACCTGTTCTGTAGGCATGTAAAGGTCAGCAACAGCATGAGGAGGTGTGTTTGGGTCTCTTCACACTGGTCCTCACAGAGCCGGCTCAGGCCCAGAGGGTGAGTTTCTGCAGCATTGTGGGTAATGTCTGATGCGACTCTGACATTACAATAACATCACTATGTGTGGTGATAGTGTTACAGAGACCTGGCACTGGTCAACAGAGATGGGATGAACGTTGTCCTGGTTAAAATCAACCAGATCTTGATGGAGAAGTTCCTGAAACTGCAAGACGTCCCCCGAACACAGGTAAACCAATACAGGTGGAGACACACACGCACACACACACACACCACACACACACACACACACACACACCACACACACACACAACACAAAGATAACTGCACACAGTTATATACAAGTGTTTTGGGTAGCAGGGACCTGTGTTTACCATTGTGAAGGAACAGAGGCAGACCAGGTTAGGTCCTGAGAGGACAGGACAGCAGCGTCCCTCCTCAGGTCCTGGTCTTAAATGTGGGATCTCACCTGAACCTGACTGTGGTGGTTACTACTAATGAAGTGCTGGTGTGTGTGCAGCTAGTGTGGCTGGTCAGAGAGCTGGTGAAGAGTGGCGTGATGGGAGCTGATGGCGTCATCATGACACTGCTGAAACAGATTGCAGGTGAGACACTTGGATTTTTACCTGAGCTGAAACCACGAATCCTGTCACCACTCGCTCTGACTGTAATGTCACTGTTCTCTCTGCACAGGCGGAGACATCTCCACCAAAAACCTGTGGCTGGCTGAGAGTGTCCTGGACATCCTGCTCGAGCAGAAGTATGATTCACTGTTTTTTTCAGACAGTAGTATCAGCTGCTTTTTTCTGTCTCTGTTAGAGCCCAGAGTGGGTTTTTATAGTGCAGCAGCTGATTATTTGTGTCTCTCCAGAGAGTGGGTATTGAAGAGTGGGATGCTCATAGCGATGTCAGTCTACACTTACCTTCGCCTGATTGTGGACCACGGAGCTCCGAACTTGCTGCCTCTGCGCCAGAAAGAAGTGGACTTCTGCATCAGCATGCTGAGGGAGAAGGTAATAAGGAGAGGAAGGAAGTATGGTGTGGTCTGTTATGTATTTAACGCCTTCTCTTTACACTGATGACCTCTCTCTGTCTGTAGTTCATGGATTGTCTAATCATCGGCAGAGATCTGGTTCGTCTGCTGCAAAATGTTGCTCGGATCCCAGAGATGGAGCTGCTGTGGAGAGACCTGCTGCACAATCCTCAAGTCCTGAGCCCTCAGTTCACGGGTGTCCTCCAACTACTGACGGCTCGGACCTCCAGGAAGTTTCTGGCCTGTCGACTCACACCAGACATGGAGACCAAACTACTGTTCATGACCTCCAGGGTAAAGCCTCTTTTACCTCATAAATGTAATGATCTTTAAGAAGAGGGTACCACTCTGTATTTAATTATGTTAGAGTGGTTCTCCACATAACTAATTTTCAGAAGTTGATTCTGTTCATCTGGGCATAACGTTTTCAGTGGGAGAAATGCTTCTTCACTCATTCTCAAGTCTCACCTGACTGCAGGATTCCCCAACCTTATAAGTAGTACACAATGACTGAAACTATCACCACCAGATCTTTTAGTACCACAATATGGAATTCAAAATCTGAAAAGCTCAGTCTCGTTTTGGCTTTAAACTGGACAAGCACTGATCAGGTGACCTCAGAGGTGTAATAGTTATGTAATGATGTAGTAGTTCACAGACACGAGAGAGCTCTTAAGGAGACAGACCTTGGCTAAATTCTGGGTTCTGAACTGCATGTCATCTGGATTTCATCTACGTAACAATGCTTTAAGATGCCTTCAAAATCATTCAGATGTGTCCCCGTGTAAGCATATACAGGAAAAGCAACACGAGCCCTAAGATCAAACCTTGGGACACATCACAAGGTAAAGTGGGAAAATTAGGAAAATAAACTCCTGTGAGAGAGACAGAAAGAGAACAAACCCAGAACTGACTCAGAGATGTCCACCCACAATTGCAGGCTGTCACTCAGGATACCACAATCTACTGTGTCAAAGGCAGCTGAAAGATCCAACAGTGTTAGCCCCTTGCTGTGAGTGGGACCTGAACACATGCCGAGTTAAGTTAAGAGTCCATTACAGTCCGTTTAGCTGCAGGTTTATCTGTAGCATCTGTTTCTGTCAGAGACAAGAAAACCAAGTTTCTGGTCTGATTAGGATCATTCAAGATGAGATGGACCATGCATTTATCAGTGCTGTCCGGCGAGGAGCTGGAGGATCGTTTCACCTCCAGCACGGTGGCTGTCAGCACCTGACAGAGACAGCAGGTCCTGCAAAAGCATCCAGGGAGGAAAACATGTAGTATCCTGATGAATCAGGGAACACCATGCTGATCAAATAGCACTGGCAATTGCAACAAATCATCATCACCAATATCGCCTGGACTCCAGCCTTTTTCCCCCTCCTTCTTCTGCGTTCACAGGAGGTCAGCTAAAGGGCATATATAGGGCCCTGAGAGAGTGGCTCACCAGGTTACACAAAAGAAGAGCTGTGATATTTCTTAAAAGCTCAGATGTGTAGTAGAGCCTGACAGTCATACTCACCAGTGCAAAAGCCTCCAACAAAACAAATACAGCAGGTAAACAGGTCAGACAAAGGTGCCATTCGCACTCTCAACTCAACCACGTTATTAAATGCTGTGATTTGGGTGTTTCTCCACCTGTGACTCAGTTGATTTTGACTCTTTCTCCATCTCTGCTCAGGTGCGTTTTGGGCAGCAGAAACGGTACCAGGACTGGTTTCAGAGACAGTACCTGTCCACAGCAGAGAGCCAATCACTACGCTGTGATCTGATTCGCTACATCTGCGGGGTAGTACATCCATCCAATGAGGTCCTGAGCTCTGATATCCTGCCACGCTGGGCTATTATTGGCTGGCTGCTAACCACTTGCACGGTAAGGGGATCTGGTTTCAGGCTGTCAATCTGCAGGAATTGTTATAGGTCAATAACTAATAATCAATTGATTTGTGTGACTGCAGTCAAACGTGGCGGCCTCCAATGCTAAGCTGGCTCTCTTTTATGATTGGCTGTTCTTCAACCCTGAGAAGGACAGCATCATGAACATAGGTAACACAATTTAGGCTACACCAGAGTGGTGTTGGTCAGAGATGATGTCATCATGTTATTAGGTAGACAGGTAAAACAGCACTCACCTGTGATGATGTGTTTCAGAGCCAGCCATTCTGGTGATGCATCACTCCATGAAACCTCATCCTGCCATCACTGCAACGCTGTTGGACTTCATGTGCAGGGTAACACACACACACACACACACACACACACACACACACACACACACACACACACACACACACACACTTTACCAGGTTTTAATTTCTCTCCTCTTATTGTTGGTCTGCTTTCTCCCCTCTTCAGATCATCCCTCATTTCTTCCCTCCTTTGGAGTCTCAGGTCCGTCAGGGTGTCTTCAACTCGCTAAACTTCATTATGGAAAAGAGGGTCCTGGCGTAAGAGGCATCAATATTTATTGATCATTGACCACTCTATCACAGGGATCATTTTTGATTATTGGTTATTGATCTCTCTTTCAGTCACCTCGCTCCACTGTTTGATAACCCAAAGCTGGACCGAGAGCTCCGGTCAATGCTCAGAGAAAGATTCCCCGAGTTCTGCAGCCCACCATCACCTCCTACTGAAGGTAACACACACACACACACACACACACACACACACACACACACACACACACACACACACACACACACACACACAGGTGAGTAGACACAAACATTAACCTCTTCCCTCTCTTTCACTTTATTTTTTTCAATTATGCAGTGAAGATGGAGGAGTCTGTTTCCATGGAGATGGACAATCATGTGTTGGACAAGGAGGAGAGTTGCTACGACAACACAGAAGCAACTTTCAGTGACGATGAGGAGGAAGTCAACAACAAAGGTAACACCTGGAGAAACAACTTCAGATGACTTGATTGCACGCGCTGTTACAGTTTCGCGCTCTCGCTGGTAGCTCCCTGCGTTCAGGGAGAAATCCTGCTCATGCGAGTAAATTTACTTTTGACAGTTTGTAGGCGGAGCTCAAATGAGGACGGGGTCCTAATGGGATTGGTCACTTTGTTGTTCAGGTTATTGCGTTAAACTGAGTTACACTGGCAATGACAGAAATGCTGTTTTAAACTGTGTTTGTTTACAATTTGAAAAATAACATTTGCTGAATTAATTATTAAGTTATTGTTTGTTGTGCAGCAGAAATACTGACAACTGTCACTGGATTACTTTAATGTTGAAGACATATTTTAAACCAGAGGATTCTAAGGCAAGTCCTGAAGGCTCTCCACTGCTGTCCCATTAATCTGTTGTACAGTATTGCATACCTTCTATGATTTAAGTAATTAAAAAAACTCATAATGAGAATCAGGAAAGTAAATGTGGATCCGAATCTGGTAATTATAACTTTGGACAAAATACAGACATTGAAAACTGCCAACAAGAAGTTGCTCAGTCTACAGCGAACGTGTAACTGCACATACATGTTTGAATTCTGATGAAGATGTTTTTCACTATTAAAGTGAAGCAATAAGAGAAATGCAACACAAACAAGAGACTGTCAGCAGTTTCCGTCAATGCTTGCACCATGCAAAACCCTCAGTGTCTAAGATGTATGTAAAATTGAGAGGCGGTTTGCAGTAAAGGGGTGATTGGGACTACGATCGCAGCCCCACCTAGCTACACTAAGTCATGAAATAGAGATGATGGGGTTTAAATTTAACAGTTATATTTTTCTATGCAAATAAGTCAAAATGACTGAACAAAACTGAATGAAATCATTTTAAAGTGGAGTAAACAAAATAATACAAGTTGGACCAATGAAACAAGTTTAATTGAAATAAATTGTATCCTGGAATAAAACAGTTTAAAATGGTTTGGAAACTACTTTAAACCAGAATAACCTGTTTTATCCTGGATTTAACTGGTGTGGTATTCCAGTTTGGGGACGAAATATGAGCTGTGAGTTTATAAATATAAATTCAATTTCCAATTCATAATTTGGAAGTTTTACTATAAATTTCTAACAATTCACCCCAAACAGGAAGTAGAGTATTTGACCACCTGTCCTCCCATCACTGTTCAGGAAAAAAGAGGGAGTTCAGATTTCATCCAATCAAAGAGGCTGTGATCGAGGAGCCTGCTGATATCACACCCTGGCTTGACCAATTAGATGACACAATGAAGGAGAAGGTGCAGCAGATTCAGAAGACCAGGTGAAAGTCCAGTCTTTTTTCAGGTCCTCAGGTTAGATGTTACATCAAGGTCATTTCCTGTTAACTGACAGCAACACTTCCTCTGCAGTGACACAGAGACTCAGTGTGAGGTGATGCAGGAGATTGTGGATCTCATCCTGGAGGTGAGCTATCTTGTTGAGTTAAATGAGTAATTCGTGGCTTATCAGAAAAGAGTGCGGCCAGCTGCGGGGCTTCAGTGTTAAGAGATGTTGGTACAATGTTGTGTTCTGTCCTACAGGAGGACTTTGACACAGAGCAGATGTCAGCTCTGGCTTCCTGTTTGGCCGAACTGTTCAAGGATCATTTCAGAGGAGAAGTCCTGCCGGAGGAGATCACAGAGGAGTAAGATCAGACTGACTCTGTCCCCTTCTCTCTCTCCTTATTGACTCATGTCTGGCTCTCTCTGATGACCCGTCTATATTTCTCTGTAGGTCCCTGGAGGAGTCGGTTTGTAAACCCGTTTGTCTGATCTTCAGGAACCTTGTCACCATGCAAGAGGACAACAGCGGTTTCTCAGTTCTGCTAGACATGCTTGCTGAACTTTACCAGAAGCAGCCAAAGATCGGTTATCACCTGCTGTACTACCTGAAGGCTAGGTGAGCAGGTGTGACAAAAAAGCTGCTGTCACAGATGTTGATAGGAGAAACGTGGTTAAACTCCATGTCTGTGTCTGTCAACAGTAAAGCAGCAAATGGGAAGATGATGTTGTACGAGTCATTTGCTCAGGCGACGGCACTTGGGGACCTCCACACTTGTCTGATGATGGACATGAAGGCTTGTCAGGAGGACGACGTCCGGCTACTCTGCTACCTCACACCCTCAATTTACTCTGAGGTAGGCTTACCCAAGTCTTACATGCACCACAAAAAGTCTCTAAAAAAGAGACCAGCCAGAAAATCTTCACACAGTAGAAGTACTGATTTAAGAGCATCCTTCCAGGAACTTATTTTTTCCCTTCATGTCCTTTAAAATGCTCCTGAAACTTCCATCCTTCTTTTCCAATGAGCTGCTGTCATTGAGGACCAGAGATGGGCAGTAACGTGTTACTGTAATCTGATTACTTTTTTCAAGTAACGAGTAAAGTAAGGGATTACTATTGCAAAAACAGTAATTAGATTACCGTTACTTTCCCGTAGGAACGCTGCGTTACTGCGTTACTAAAACCGTGATTTTTTGCAAGAATGTCTCATGACAGTGACGTAAGCAAGCACGACGTTCGTGACAACAGCTGTGTGCAGATCAACAGTGGATCACATATCGATTGTGGGAGAGAGTATGAGCGTGCAGCGTTTAAAGCGTGGAAGTAGTGACCTTACTTTGAGTTTGATTCCATAAAAAGTGACAAAAACATTAGCGTCCATCGTGCGTGGGAAGAAAACTTCTTTTTACAGCGAAAAAACCCCTAAACTTCCAAACAAGCACCGAGTGCGCAACGACGTAATGGGAAACTCACAGAGAAACTCGCGGATTCTTCAACTGACCGCGGCACACCTGCACCAGGGTAAACCTCCGCCTGCTTTACAGGTGAAAATAGAGCAACAGGACCGCTGAGTCTTTGACTTTATTTATGTTCTGCTGTGTTTTACTTGCATCTATTTGAAAGAGTGAGTGTAAACACAAAAAATATTTTATTTTATGTGCTGGAATGTGTAGAAAATAGGTTTAAATGTTAAACTAATTTATTCAAGTCAGAGAATGGTGCATATAATTACATTTTTGCTTGATGCATAAAGTTAAGATTAAAACTGATAAAACAAGTTAAAAAAAGAGACTTTTCCATTTGATTACATTTTGTGTGATGGATTATGTAGAAAAAGTAGAATTGGGCTGAAAGATCTATCGCTTTATCACCTATTCAGGTTGTAAATCGTCTTTTTAAAAAGTAACTAAGTAATTAATTACTTTTGAAAATAAGTAATCAGTAAAGTAACCGGATTACTTTTTTGGGGAAGTAATCAGTAATTAGTTACTGATTACTTTTTTCAAGTAACTTGACCAACACTGTTGGGGACACACTGTATTTAATGTTTGACTGTACTGAAACAGAGGAGTGCGATAGTAGTGACCCAGCATAAGACAAACACAAGTACAAGAGTAGCCTAACCAGTAAAAGTAAAACATAACAGCTTAACAATAATTAAACTAACTGAACTCTTAAACATCATCAAACTGGAACATCATGTCTTGGGTCACTCGTTCTCAGACATGCCCGGGCTTGTCTCGGGACAAGGGAACATAAAAGTATGGCATCGCTATAGAAATGGTATCACAATATGACATTTTTATGTGACGTGAAAATGTAGTACTCTTTTTTTTTTTTTTTTTGCCTGTCCCGTTTGGCTCTTTTGCCATCAGAATTATTGTCTAAAGGCGAAGAAAGATGCCCAACGGATTTACTTTACCAAATAAACCATCCCAGCCTTGCCGTAATGGTCTATTTGATTCACCTTTTATTGTTTATTTTATTTTTTATTTTCACTTGTTAGATACGGGACAGACTTGAATGAGGAACAGAAAAGGGAGAAAGAAAGAGGGGGGAAAAAACAGTGGAGAAGAGGGACGGGGATAAAGGGCAAAAAACAAAAACCAACAAAATAAGCAGACAAAAAATACATATATCAATCACCTGGATCACCTGTTGAGAGCAATAGAATAAACAACATCATGATGATCGATGGGAATATAACAGTAAATACTAAATGTTAAACATTATTGTGCAGCACATAAGATCGACAGCGCACAGTGTGCTTTGAGGTAGGAGCCAAAAAGGGTGTAGTTTGTGTGTGTGAGCACTGAAAATGTAGTACTCTGATGAAGGTCCCTGCTCTTGTTCAGTTTCCAGATGAGACGCTGCGGAGTGGCGAGCTTCTCAACATGATCGTCGCCGTTATCGACTCCACACAGGTAATAAACCTGATCGGTGCGTCCCCGCTGCTCTGGCTGGGAAACCATGTCTCATCTGTGCGTGTTTGTGTGTGTGCAGTTACAGGAGCTGATGTGTCACGTGATGATGGGGAACCTGGTGATGTTCCGGAAAGATTCTGTGCTCAACATCCTCAGTGAGAAACTCGGATTAAAAGTTTGACTCTTCAGTTTTTCGGGCCATGGTCCATCTTCATTTGCTTGTTTATCCTCGATCTCCACAGTTCAGTCACTCGAGTGGGAGACCTTCGAGCAATATAGCACCTGGCAGCTGTTTCTGGCCCACAGCATTCCCCTGGAAACCATCATCCCCATCTTGCAGCACCTCAAATACAAAGGTGAATAAATCCTCAATAGACAGGGACACAAAGCAAAGGAAAGATTGTAACCCTCCTTTCTGTTTATGGTTCAGAGCACCCTGAGGCCTTGTCCTGCCTGCTGCTGCAGCTTCGCAGAGAAAAGTATGACACATAGCAGACACCCCATTTCACATGTGTTTCTGTTCCGCATTTGAGCTGTGTTTCTGTGTCCCTGTTAACATCCCTTCATGTTTTTGTGACAGGCCCAGCGAAGAGATGGTGAAAATGGTCCTGAGTCGTCCCTGTCACCCAGAAGACCAGTTCGCCACTAGCATCCTGAGACACTGGGCTACCAAATACGACGACACACTGGCAGAAAACATAAAGGCCCAGCTGATCAAGAACAACAACCAACCCCGCAAGAGACAGAGGTAAGCACAGAGAGTTAACCACAAAAAGTGACTAACGTAGAAAGAGACTGAGTTGAGGGAAAAACTCTAAAAAAAGACAGGTAAGAAAAGAAAAACAGATGAGGGCACAAATAGATGAAAGAGAAAAAAGACAGAAGAGGTTAGGATAACGTAAAAACAGAAATTACAATAAAAAGGACAATTTGAAGGCGATGACATAAGGACATAAAAATAAAAAAAAACAGGTGAGGACTGTGAGTTCTGCCTGGGGCTCTCCCCTCTTTGCATCTGTACTTCTTGGGGCTCTCCTCAGCTGTGTCCCATATCAGGGGCTTCACACTTGCAGGACTCGGCCCATGCAGAGTGGGTTCTTCAAAGACCACAAGGCCACAAGTAAGTGGCTATATGATACAAAAACACAACATCCTTATAAAATATGATGTAACGCTGTAGATCAGGGGTGTCCAATTCCAGGCCTCGAAGGCCGGTGTCCTTGATCCAACACAGCTGATTTAAATGGCTAAATTACCTCCTCAACATGTCTTGAAGTTCTCCAGAGGCCTGGTAATGAACTAATCATTTGATTCAGGTGTGTTGACCCTGGGTGATATCTAAAACCTGCAGGACACCGGGCCTTGAGCCCTGTAGTTGGACAAACCAGCTGTTGATGAACTTGCCTCAGAATATATAAAACGTTTTCAGACAAAGGAAATCAAATGTGCGGTAAGTCGCAGGATTAAAACACAAATTAAAATAAAAAATGTACATACTTTATATCTGTAAGCAATTGGAACCTGAGCTGCATTAAGTCAGTGGTTCCCAAACTGTTTTTGCTAGGCCCCCCTTTGAAAAATGTTCTTGTTGTTTCGTTTCCCTTTTCATACCGCGAATTGGGGCAGCCTTGTACGCCTTCAGATGCAGCCTTTAAAGGATGTAGCTCCTGAATTGGGACATGCCCCTCCTCTGTTCATCTGTACTCATTTCTTTGTCTGTAGTGTCAGTTCTGTTAACGTTATTCTGTCTTCAGTCTGCGCAGTTCGAGCAGTAAACTGGCTCAGCTGACCCTGGAACAGATCTTGGAGCACATGGACAACCTCAGACTGAGTCTGAGCAACACCAAGAACAACTGTCAGTACCCTCACACACAGTTCTCGATTGTCAACCAATTACTGATGACCTGAATGTGCTAATGTCTGTATGTCTCTGTCAGTCTTCACTCAGACTCCGATACTTCAGGCTCTGCAGCACGTCCAAGCAAGCTGTGATGAGGCCCACAAGATGAGGTACATTTACTCCCACAGACACACACAAACGATTACATCACAACACTGCTGTTTACGTCACATCTTCCCTGTCAGGTTCAGCGATCTGTTCGCCCTGGCGGAGGAATACGAGGACTCTCAGACGAAGCCGCCAAAGTCGCGCCGTAAAGCTCCAGCCTCGTCACCTCGTTCCAGGAAGGGAGTCGCTCCACCCACCAACAACGAGGAAGAAAGTGCATCCAGCAGCGGCTCTGTATGTACCCCCTCTATACAGGTTCAAGTCTTGTTTTGGTTCAGGTCTGTTTCTGATCTTGTTATGTTGTTGCAGGAGGAGGAGGACTCAAAGCCCAAAGCTCCAAAGAGGAAACGGAAAGGATCATCAGCTGTTGGCTCTGACAGTGACTGAAGGAACCTCCAAACAAGATCACATGCCAGCTGCTCCATGTACTGGGAGAGACCATGTCTCTTCCTGATGACATGCACTGACTGCTGCTGGGAGGTGGAGCTCTGAGATGCTGCCAACTTTAACTCCATGTGATGAACTGACTTTTAATGTGCTGTTTCCATGGAGACCAGCAGTCGAAGGTCACTGTGTGTGGCTGATCTCCCACAATGCACTGGGGGAAGGAGGAACTCAGACTGATTTTAACAGCAGACATGATGATGATGATTTTTGTTCCTTTTTGGGGGGGATGGGTTGTACTTTTTTTTTTTGGAAAATCCTCACTTCTTGCTGTTTTTAGCGCCTCCTTCCTGTTTGGCTCCCTGCAGTAAAAGCTCCGTCATGTCAATGAGTTCTTTGTATAAAAACTGATGGTTGGTTTCAGACTCAGCTGTCTGTTATTGGGAGTTTGATGGGGGTGGAGAGGGTGGAGGGGAATGGGGTGTGCCACAAAGGTCCTTTTAACACCTTTTCGTGGCGTTCATCAGATGCAGGAGGGTAAAAAACAGAACAGACGAAGCAGCTCAGAAGTGAACTGACTTAAAGCTGGGTAATAAAACGGTGAGAGCACGGAGCAGCCAGTGAGGAGCAGTGATGTCATTGCATTTCTGTTATAGCTGGACTCAGCCAATAGCAGGACAGTTTCAGAATTAACCCATGTGTTGTCCTTGGGACATTTTTGTCCTCTGCAGAAATCTTTTGCTATCAAAAATGTGTTTTTTATTCATCAAATGGTCTGAAAATAACAGTTATTCAGTACTATGCTATGCATGATTGGAATAAGTTTTAAGTAATTTGTTTTATTTATGGGGTTTTTATTGGAGTTTACAACACCTGTTGTCCTCGGGGATGAAAATGTGCCCAAAGTACAAAGTGTTGCAAAGGGCCGTATTTTCACACCATACTGCTTTCAAACATCTTTGATCTTGAATCACTGATGTGTGGGGTCAATGGTCTTGCTTAAAGGTCATAACAACAACAACAACAACAACAGGCAGCCCAATGAGGAGGCAGGTGCTCTACATTCAATTCAATTGTATTTTTACAGCGCCAAAGCACAACAACAGATGCATCAAGGTGCCTCATATTGTAAGGTAGACCCTACAATAATACATACACAAAGTATGCTCACAAGCCTCCATTGCACTGGAGGCTTGTGAGCATACTTTTTTTTTTTTTACCATGTTGAGCAAAGGAATGACCAGTAGAGCAAAGCATATATTGTCCTCTAGTATAATGAGAAGGACGAATCAACTTTCAGGAAGATCCAGGGTTAGAAGATAAAGAAAATATTGCCAATATTTAGATTACAGAGGGGCCGATGGCGCGATATGGCAGCCTGGCTTCTGCCAGTCTGCCCCAGGGCAGCTGTGGCTACAACTGTAGCTGCCTCCACCAGTGTGTGAAAGTGAGAGTGAATGAATAGTGGCATTGTAAAGCGCTTTGGGTGCCTTGAAAAGCGCTATATAAATCCAATCCATTATTATTATTATTATTATTATTACATGCTACCCTTTCTCTGAAAAAGCACATCACCCTCCTGCAGAAGTGGAAGAATGCTATGAAGTGAAGGAAGTGATGAAGAATCTGAACTATGTTCAAGCAGGTTCTCATGAATCCAGGACATGGTAGTCTAAGGAGCTTGGAAAGAAAGTGACTGGGCTTCTTGAAGTTTCTTGAATTTTCAGAATGTGAAACTGAAATAGAAGATGTGTCAGAGGACTACACATCATCCATTTCAATTATGATGAAGATCAAGCAAGAAAGAGGAGACAGCTGAGACAGGAATATTTGCAGTAATGTGAGGAAACACTGATCTGGTCTTCTATCCTTCCCAGTGACAGACGATGCATGACTCTCTCATGTGCCACAGAGAAAGACAATCTACCACAGTCCAAGCACATATGCCAGGTCCCATACTCCTTCAGTGGCTTTTCTACTCGAGCACTGAAAGCATTATACACAGTGTATTCTGCTTGTATTATGCTTTTTAATTTTCAAATGCCAATGGATGCATCAGAGACCAAGTTGGGGTTCAGTAACTTGCCCAAGGACACCTTGGTAAGAACTCCAGACTAGAGCACACAGAGATTGAATAAGATAAAAACATGGGCAGTATGTGATGCCAGGTACAGCTGTACATGGAGTGTACGATGGCAAACCGTCTGGCCTGCAGTCAGGGCACGCGAGTTGTCCCTAACATTGCAGAAGGTTTCCAAAAGAAAACAATCACCAGTAACACCTTGTTTACTTCATATGCCCTTGGCCTGCAACTGCAGAAAAAGAGCTGTCCATGATGGGACCAGTACAGAGGAATAAACCTGAGCTTCCTCCTGCACTTGTGTCAAATATGGACACGCCTTTGTTCTCATGAAAGTTTGCCTTCACTCAGACCCATGCCCTTGTGTTCCTACCATGCCAAAACAGAAAAATATCATGTAATTAGTCAGAATAAAGTTGAATAAGACCTTGAAACACAGAGATGAATGATATTTTATACTTACTGCTTTATAAATAGTCAAACCAGTTGAGGTCATTTTTGAGCCCAAAGGACAACAGATGTGATTATTTGCTGCCAGTAAAAAACTTGAAGTAGTTTAAAAACAGCTTCCCAAATTAACTTCGACATATACCCGTCTGTGATCATCTGTTAAAGCAACCAATTTTGGTTGTGAAAGGATAATCACAATAACTGATGATTTTATTTATTTTGTTACCTGAAAACACCTGAAACATTTCGTATAAATGAGGTTTTATCAGACATAAATTTGAAATGGAATAAAGAAATAGTGTCAAAGTGTTTGAATTAAGTTTTAATTAAAAGTGGGGGGAAATCCACTTTATATTAATTAAGTATCAATCAAACCAGATGGGGACATTTTTGACCCCTGAGGACCACAGGTGTGATTATGTGCTGCCATTTAAAATTTGTAAATGATTAAAAAAAACATTCTCACTAAAAATCAACATACAACACTCTGTGGTTATTCAGATAGTCATAATAATATAAACATTTAAATACTTTGTCTCATTTTGTTTTCGCTCAAAAACAGAGTATACTTCATGTAAACAAGGTCGGGTGGCCCTAAAATGTAAAATGTAGGGTAAATTTTGTGTTAATGTGTTGGTCTTAAGTAAAACTAAAGTGTAACACTGAATTGATTGACAATTTATACTTTATACTTTAAAAAACACTCAAATGAAATGGGGACATTTTTTCCCCTGAGGACCACAGGTACATGGAAATCGAGAGGACATTATGAGGATTAAACATCATATCACAAACTGCCCTGAGTAGGTTAAATATGAAGCCTGGTGTGGTCAGCTGATCATTACATTTCATGAATTCTCCAGTGTTCAAAGTTTTTAAGTTATGTGACCTCTGAAATAAAGAAAAAATACAGGGTGTATCAGAAAGAATCATCAGATTTTAAAGTACTTGAATTCTGCAACTGTTCACGGTAACCATTAAAACACATACAGCCTGAAAGAACATATTATGGAGTTTCACATGGTTCCTGGTGTTGCACTAAAAAGTGATTTCTTATTTGCCAAAAAACCTGCAGACCTGCTCACCATATGGGCTGAGTTTGACTGTCATATTGACATACGCTGTGTGTCTGGAGGGGACACATTTAGCACTATATATGTAAATCTCTGATATACCCTGTATAAAAAAAAAAGTCAGTGAAAATGTCCAGATGTCTTTAAAAACATGAAATGAAGCAGGAGGAATATGGAGGTGGTCTTCATCTGGAAACCTGAAGAATATGAATGTAGTGTGGTTAAGTCAGCATGGCCCCAGCCTCTTTGTGATAACTAAGCAGTTGTTTACCATGTAACATAAATCCTGTGTTATCAGAAAGAAACGTAAATAATGAAACATAAGCATGGGATCAATGTTGGAAAAAGCTCCTTAATCCAACAAAAAGTCACAGGGTTATAACGGTCTGTGATATATTAACAGATTCATTGATACAAAAAAAGTGAAAAAGATTGTTCCTAAAATCAAATTCTTAGATCAGTGAAGGAGAAAACAGATTATAAACATGTAAAGGTTCCTAAAATGTGAGAAAGAAAAGATACAAAATAAAATGTCTTTTTAAAAGCAGCAGACATCCAAAAGAAAACAAAGTAGAAAAAAAATTAACTGAGAGCCACGTAAATCAGATGATTCCACTGTAATTAAGGTGGACTACACCTTTAACAGGTGTGTGGTGTCATTGGCTGCTGCTCAAATACACCTGAGAGTGAACCCTGTGTGATAAGTTGAGCGTGTGCAGACAAACTATCAGGTTGTTCTGGAAGCCTGAAGGTGTGGATGTGAGGACGTGCTGCCCCCACCTGAATGTTATATTGTCCATGAGGTGAGCAGCAACAGGCAGAGTAATACAGAGATCTTCTGATGTGACTGTTTCTGCTAAGTGACAACTTTGACTTCAGCTACATTAAGTGTATATAGAGTCTTCAAACCTCTTTAGTGTTTACAAGGCTTTCAAATGTTTGACTGCAGGACTTCCACACCCACGTTTTGTGAAGTACAGCCTCTAAATAGTTCCCGTTCCTGATAAGTTGAGCGTGTGCTCAACTTATCACACAAATAAACGGTTTGAGACACTTGGCGCACAAAACTAAGTTCTAGTCCTTCAGTGCCTCTAAAACCTTCTCAGTCACTCTAGGAAATGCACATGATTTGTAATCAAAGTTTAATTGCTTTCATGAACTTTGTGTGCTTAGTCCTTGGTGAGTGAACCCAGTCAGGTCCAGTTCAGTGGTTCCAAAGATTGAGAGATGCTTGCCAAGACCTCTGCCCTCCCCCCCCCGTGTCCCTGCAGCTTCAGAATTGCTGTAGATCGGGGTGTCCAACTCGAGTCCTCGAGAACTACTGTCCTGCAGCTTTTAGACACATCCTTGTTCTGACACACCTGAATCAAATGAATGGCATCAGGCCTTTGCCAAACTTGATGACATGC